TGTGCCGCGCCGGCTCTGCATCAGCGCTACCTCCCGGTACAGCCTCCTCCACCCTGGCACCGCCTCCTGGCACAGCTTCCTCTGCCTCCGCAGCAGGGTCTTTGTGCCACACTCCCACCAGCTCCACATCAGTGCTGGTGCCGCCTCTTCCCGTTGCAGCATCCTCTGCCCCAGCCACGCTCGCCAGCCTCTCACCTGCAGGAACAAACGGGCAATCAGGCATGAGCCGTCCCCACAGGAGGCCGGCTAGGACAGGGCCCCAACTACGGCAGTCAGAGTCCGAGGCACCACTCAAGTGGCCCCGCCCCTCCCTGGAGCCGGTTTCCGAGCTGGGATTGAAGGAGGCGGTCACACCTCTTGCAGCTTTTCAGGCTGCTGCAGACTCAGGCAGGTGTCAGCACCACCCAGCTCAGGTTCACAAGCCTTTCTTTGCCTCTGTGTGGGCTGGAAATATTATTTGCTTTTTCAGTGAGAGCCAAGACATGGCTCTCGTATGGTTCTGGGGGCCCTGGCGCAGGTGGTGGGATGGGTGCAGTGGTGCAGACAGATCAGGGAGAGGGTGGTGACAACCTCTGAGAGGAGCTGGGCCAGGAGGGCTTGCAGGGGTGGATGTGGGGGCTCCCCGCTGCCCAGGACCGGCGCCAGCTTTTTTGCCACCCCAGGTGGCAAAAAAGGATGGAAGAGGACAGGAGAGGGGCGGTTCCGCGAGAAGCTGCCGCCAAAATGCTGCCGAACACTGGGGCGGCTGAAGATCATCCCACCGCCAAAATGCCGCCGAATTCCGCGGCGGACGAAGCGTTGCCGCCAAAATGCCACCGAGGGAGCCAAAATGCCGCCCCCACAAATCCTGGCACCCTAGGCAACCGCCTAGGTCGTCTAGTGGTTGCGCCGGCCCTGCCGCTGCCCCCACCCCTCTCAGCTGGGCTTATTTATCCCTCACCTGTTTGGGGGCCCGGCCAGCTCTCATCATCCTCGCCTTTGCTGAGATCTGGGACTTGCAGCTCTTCCCCTCGCTTCATCCAGTATTGGGATTGGGGCCCTGCTGGGTGAGAACAGAGCAGGTGGGATCCAGGTAAATACCCACCATGCTCGGCGTTCATCTGCTACTCGGGGCTGGCATGGACGGGACAGCCAGGAAATGCCCCTGGAAACACAAGAGGGTCAATTCAGACACAAACAATCAGAGTGGAGGGGAGACGACCCCACGGGCTCCCCGAGCCATAGTGCAAGTGTGGTCCCACAGCTGCTCACTAACACAGGGGTATAAAAGCCCACTGCCGGCTTCAGACTTGAACCAAACTGGCTCGGTGCAGTGCCAGGACTGAGCCTCTGAACGGGACTGGTGGGAAACGGCTGGCCTGGCTAATG